AAAGCACATTAATGTTAAATCATGCCTCTTTCATTCTCTCTAGAAAGTGAGGTGTGTCTCATTACTCTATCAATCTCACTAAAACAAGATGGACCACAATAAAAGTAAATAAAGATGGACGACATCACAGCTCCAAAAACTGAAGCCAAAGCCTCTCCATGGCCCCCTGGTGGCAGTGAAGGTCATGAACCCTGCTCCATGTGGAGGCTGATTCATTCTTCTGCATCGAAGCTACCACTTCTGTTCGCAGGGCTGAGCATTCATAGTTATGCGTAGGTGTGTGTGAGAGGCGCTAAGTTCATGCCACTATTTCTATGCTGGTGTCTTCTGGGTTCTGTTTATTTACAATTTCATTATTTACTTCAGAACAGTGGCGAGTGCCACTAAGCAGATCATGTTGGAGTTAGAGCGGATAGATGTTAAATTGCAATTACTTTTTCTAAAAGAACTGCAGCAAAGAAAATAAAGACGTCGTCTCTGTTCGTCCCTTTAACTCAATTCAAAAAATAGCGACGAGTCTTCTGGAGATGCGATGCTATCAAGCTCAGGTGGTTTGCGTCGCCTCGATGCATAGTTACATTTTTGGGAAGGTGCACGTCAGGATACAGCGTAGGGCTCTGTGAAGGGTACACGTCTAGCTACTGCTAGCTAATGTAATCAGACGTCCTTGGGGGCCTCCTCTCAGCTCCTCGCCACAGGTACTGCCTACAGTCCCTACCCTGCATATTAACAGGATATAGTGTAGTACATTGATAGGGTATATAATACTGTATTTTGATAAGATATTGTTATTCCTCTGTAAGTTCTATTGTAACACACAGTGTTAAGAAGGCAATGAGATTTCTTTTCATTTCATTCATCTTGTCATTTTTTACCTCAAAATCCTAATCAGTTGTTTTGATATGGAGCTGAATAACAGTGAACTGGTATGACCCTTTGTTTTCTTAGTAGCTTGTGTGTACTGAGCTTTTACTCTCACAAACATGATTAAGATAAGGTTTCCACATCTCAAGAACTCTTGAAAACTTCAAGGAAAACAAAATCCCCTCAGAACACGTTCTCAATATAAATGCAGTCCGAGCTTGGGAGTCTTCATTTGTGTTTTTAAAATTTGTTGTGGTTATGAGGTTTTTCCCTCTTTCTTCCTCCTGGTGGCACTATAGCCTCTACCATCTGCACTGTGTCCATCAGACTGAAACCTTTCAGTCTGATGGACACGGGAACAGTGATGATAGTGACTGAAGTAGGATTAATACATTATACTTAACTTACATTATATTTACTTTTGTATTTTATTCATGTTAAAATCTGTTTTTCTGGTTTGTCTTTTGTTTGTTTGTTTCCCTGTAATTAGTTATAATGCAGGCCTGGCATTCTCAGAAAGAGGATGTGGTCCTCTGTTTCTCACGTGTTTCATTGCAACACCTATTCTGTTGTTAGTATTACATTTTATTTTCTGTTTTTTTACATTATAGATGGAGTGTTCAGGACTATGATTTAAACAGATTTCCATATACGTTCAGGTTTACTAAACTATCAAACTACCAGTGAAACAAATACCTCAGGGATTACATTCCATAATAACATATAGTATACTAAATGTTTCCCTGGGCTTTTTAAAGAAACCTTTACCACAAATACACACATGAGTTATTCATGCAGACTGGAGGGTGAAGTCAGTGTGTGTGTTTATGAAAGAGGGAGATTGCCTGTGGGCTGGTGGGTTCATAGGTCAGAGTGATACGTGTAGCAGGTAATTTATTCTGAAGACAAGCTTAATGAGAACTTTATTAATTCTACTCTATTACTGTTTTTTATCTTTGCTTTTTGATTGCATTTTGAAAGTGGATTAAGCAGAACAGAGCACGCTGTTCATCATCATCTCAAAAACTAATCAGTCACACTCCTGAGACAAAGTTACTGTCAGACTTTGGGAAAACTTGAATGTTGGTCTCACGTTTCCCTCAATAGGAAGTTTTGGAGCACTGGAAAAAACACATAGTTAGTGTCTATGAACTTAATAGTAATTATGGTCCTCAGAAGAAAAAGGGAAAAAAATACTCACCTGTGAACAACAGAGCATAGTTGTGTACTTTTGTATATTTGTCTTACTCTGTGTGCTGATAGCTCTGCTGCTTCAGGTTTAACTTCAAGAATCACATGCATGCAACGCTACACATGCATGCAGGAAGTGATGATGCACTGTGATCTACACCCGCTTCCTCAAAACACACAATTTGTGAGTGTTTAGTAATCTCTGTGCCATTTAATATTTTAAATACTTCTGTATAATGTTTGAAGTATCTTGAATGTCTGGAAATGATAACAAGTAATACAGATCATGCTTCAGATGAGGATGAAAACTGGTCTGTTCTTTTGTTTCAGAAAGAAAAATCATGTCAAAAGCAAATATTACAATATATATACATTTCATATGTATTGACAGCAGTTCAGAGGTCATCTTTACTGCTCTTTCAAAATAAAAGATTATGCATCCTTCCACAACATCTGTCTGATCTTCGAAGTGAATACAGTATTTCACATGTAATCACATTTTTCATCAGAATACATAATAACCTCTATGTCTATTTTATCTTAAATACTGCAACCCTCTGTGTGTGTGTATTTAGTCTCTTTGTTAGAATTGATCTGAAGCTCTCGGTTGGTGATTCATTGACCTGGCATGAAGATTCCATACATGCCAAAGCAAAAGGCAATCAATTCCACATATTTCTATTGTGACATTCTTTGGTGAACAGATCTACTTTTTGCCATTGTCACAACAGTTTCTATGTCAGTCTCCACCCGACGTCAAACCCTGATGTCAGGTGAAGTTCAGTTTAACCTTAACAGGTTTATAAAAATTGGCCGTCCTTTGTTTACAGGCACAGAAACAATCCTGTGGTTTAGAAAAAATACATTTGGTGCAGGTTTGAGTAATTTCATCTACCCCTTCACATAAACCTTATTATAAACTTCTTCAACTGTTCACATCTGGAGTATTTTCCTGGTAGTCTTTAACTTGTAGGTATTAGCACAATGAAACAGACGTTCCTGTTGTCCAGTGCTCTGATGTACGGACATTTAAAGCTGCACTAATCAATAATTCCATATTAACAATGGATCTAATAACTATGTGTAATGTGAAAGAGGTTGCTTGTATTGACAAACACACAGATAATTATCTCTCCACTTTGCAGCTCCACTCAGCTTCTTTTTTTATCATTGTTCAGCTATCCACTTTGATTCAGACTTTATCATCAACTTTGTTTCCAGCTGCAGCTGCTGTCTTCAACAACAACAACAACAACTTCATTCTCATAATGTTACAACTTTATTTTTGTAATATCACAACTTTACTCTCGTACATTTACATTTTTTTGGAATATTTTAACATCACTCTTGTAAATGTAGGACTTTTTTCTAATGATATTACCGCTGCATTCTCGTCTCTTGTATATTTTTACAACATTTTATATATATTTTATATTACTTAACACTCATAATATTGCGAATTTATACTTTAAATGTAGGGCTTTTTTTCTGTTTTTCTATATTTTTCCCTTTAAGTGGACCCAGTAGTCTACTGCACTTCTTCTTTCTGCAGCTGCTAAAACTTTTTGAAACTTTTTCATCATCAGCATTTCCAATCAAAGACAACATTTCCCAGAGTGCACTGGAGCAGGGCTGTTCCATGGACTCTTACCGGGGTGTGGCTCACACACACACACACACACACAGCTGAGGGTTTTTCTCGCTGGAGTTTCTCCCTCCGTCCTTCTTCTCCTCCTCTCCTCCATCTCCACCGGGTCTCTCTGTGTGTGCTGCCCGAGCCTCCTCTCTCAGCTCCGCGGTAAGTTCCTCACCTCACCCGGGGGCATCGTCTGTAACTTGCGGGGAAAACGTTAGAGCAGCGTCGGCCAGGTGAGCGGGGACAGCCGGGGTCTCACCTGCGGTTTACCTGGGGACAGAGGAGGAAGTGGGACAGACAGGAGAGGAAGAAGACACAGCCGAGGACTCGATTAAAACTGACGAGGAACCACTTTCACTTTCTACTAAAGTTTCTTTCTGTTAAAGTTTTTCTCTCTTCAACAGATCTTCTTCCTCATCTTCAATAAACCGTCAAGACTTTTCAAAATGGTGAGTCTGCTCCACTTCTCTTCATTTTTTAAAAAGCTTTTAACACAAAGAAAAGCGTCAAACTTCATTTTAAACCTTAAAGTAAAGTCACAATTCTCAAGTCGTCTGTGTAAAACTCCGTTATTTATGCTAATGTGTGACTCAGAGTGGTTTTCACATCTGGACACAGAGACAACGCCCACTTTATTCTCCATTATATAATGTTCTGATCAGATCTGACTGCAGCAGATGCAGACTTTATTTATTTGCTCTTGATAAACTTCAGACTTGTTTCCAAA